GTTGAACTTTGATTTTTTTCAGCCCATGAAACACCGCAATGATTACTCAGTTGGTGTTTTGTATCTTGCCAATCKAAATCTTCCCAGAAACATACGGTTCAAATGGGAAAATATCATTGTTGCTGGAGTGATTCCTGATTTAGAAAATGGAAAGCCTGACCTGAATGAGTTTCTAGGTCCTTTAGTGAGTGAACTGAAAGCTTTATGGTCTGGTGTTTATTTAAAAACATCTMTTAGTAATATTCCACTGAAATGTASAGCTGCTTTAGCTTGTGTTGCATGTGATATYCCTGCTGCTCGTAAGCTCTGKGGGTTWAAGAGCCATAATTCAAACCATGCTTGTTCAAAGTGTTTGAAGTTTTTCACAGGGAATGTAAAGGATTCCTTTGATTATTCTGGGTTTGATAGGGCCCATTGGCAAAAACGGGATGTTGACAAGCAAAGAAGGTTTGCAAAACTGATGCAAAAAGCCAAGACAAAAAGTGAATATCAGAGGATGTCAATGAAATATGGCATCTATTATAGTGCTCTTGTTGAGTTGGACTACTTCGATGCTGTGAGGTTTACTGTTGTTGASCCAATGCATAACTTGTTCCTTGGGACAGCAAAARCAATGTACAAGATCTGGGTTGAGGATGGACTATTATCACCAAAGGATATTAAGGTATTRGAAAGCCGAATCAAACAGTTTGATGTCGGAACAGGTCTAGGAAGGCTTCCCCATAAAATTTCTTCAAACTATGGGTGTTACACTGCTGCACAATGGAAAAATTGGACTCTAATWTACTCTGTTTATGCTTTGAATGGATTGCTGCCAGAGCTCCACCTTCAATGCTGGCAAGCATATGTTTTGGCTTGTAAATTCCTTACAAGGCCAGTTATTTCTAAACTTGAACTTGACAAAGCAGACATGATGCTAATTCAGTTTTGTAAAAAATTTGAAAGGCTCTATGGGAAGAGCAGGGTAACACCTAATATGCATTTGCATGGGCACCTTAAGGAATGTGTAATGGATTATGGGCCAGTATACAACTTTTGGTGCTTCAGCTTTGAGCGTTACAATGGCATTGTCAGTAGTTTTACAACAAACAACAGATCTATCGAGGTTCAGCTGATGAGGAAGATAATAACAGATCGTTTTTTATTTTCTATTTCATTTCCTTCAGAATTTGAAGAAATATTCCTTGCAACAGTTCAAAAGCAAGTAGCAGTTTTAACTGATTATGTTGAGCTTGGTGTTCAGCTTACCCATGCTTCAATGACTGAGGCATTGTGTGAAATCAATTGGCAATCATTTGAAAGTCAAATGATACTGCCAAAGGTTCACAAACTACTCATTCTTGATGACGATGATGTTAGAAATCTTGCGTCAGTTTACAATGCAATGTATGGTGTGAACTTCCCAGATCAACATCTCTCAAAATCTGTTCGTATTTATGGAAATGTTGCACTTGGCAACGAGAAGTTTGGTTCTAAGAAAGAATCAAGAACTAATAAATCTTCTAGAATTGTTGCAACATGGAGCAGCAATAGTGGACAGATTAATTGTGCCTTAAATGATCGTCCAGGTTTTATTCAGCATTTTATTCAGCATATGGTTCAGTTAAATGGGGGCTGGGTAAAGCATGTATTTGCTGTTGTAGATTGGTTTGAAGAGAGCCCACAAAAGGGGTTATATGGTAAGCCTGTTGAAGTATGGAAGTCTCTCATTATTBCTGGTGGACCATCAAGGTTTTTACCTTTGGCTAGAATTAAGACCAAGTTTGTGATGGCTGAGTCACCTTCGAACCAGCAAATGGTAATAGTACCGTTAAATAGAACATTTTCGTTCTAATAAAAGTGCTTACCACATTTTAGGAAACAGATTCTTCTTA